TAACCCAATGGATATATGTGAAAATCTATATCAAACGGATGTGAGTCACATGTGAGACACACATAAACATTTCGGGAAGACATGAATGTGTTAAAAATGTCATATTACCTGCGACATCAACAACGATATTTGTGACAAGAAAATTTAATGGCTTTTAACGTGAAAATCAACCTTAGAAAAAAAATCCGGTGATGAGAGTGCTTAATTGCTGCCAGCCCGGTATCACGTTACAGGCACAGCCATTTTGATATAAATCGGTGTCAGCGAGAAAAAGGAACTTCGCAACTGTCCCGGACTGTTACATAAAACATCGCTTCAATTTCACGGCGAACAAACTACAGCTTTGAACCACGTGTTGTATACCTGAATTTTTCATGACGAGACGAGATCTAAGTACAGTTTTAAACATACTCGTTGATTTGATGTCTGGTATACACCGACCCGACACACCTGTAGTATTTTCTATTAATAACAAGCCTAGTTTTTAAATACTTTACCTGTTACGAACGCACACACGGATCGAGAAATACATAGATAATATTAATAGCATACACAAGCCCGCAGGTGTAAAAATCTATTTATATAGTCAATGGAACGCCGTCGTTAGAAACATTCTTTGATAAGCCTCATTCCTTTTATTACCAAACACCTACTCGTGAATATTCGTGTTAAAACTATGTTGTTTCCATTACCAGGATAAAAATTAATCTCATGAAAAATAGACCGAAAGACTGGTTATAAGAAATCATATCAGACATAGATATAAGGTGTATAACGTTAACCTATACTTGTTGTTTAAGATAAATCTATACCAGTTTTTGAAAAATCAATTAATATATATGTTTACTTATATTAACAAATTATAAGACACTAACTTATAATTACAGGAAATAATACGTATTCCCTTTTAAATAATCCCATCTTGATCTTATCAAAAAAATCTATACGTAATTGTGACATTTTACTTAACAAATGAACACTGATGTATTCATTTATATTACAGTCAATTTCGCAACATCTAAAAAGTGTTCATCCTTACTCATTAATACAATGAAAACGTTTTCCTATAAACTTTTCATTCGGACGTATTAAAAATTCGTAGTGGTAAACAAAAAAACTCTGAATGGGTTTTAAACATTTTTACTCATGAATTAAAATAAATTTTATAAAAAAAACCAGCACTAACATACATATAAATCTGATCCTGTTTGATTAAGCTACAAGTACAGCCTAACTACAGCGAGATATTATCCTCACAACTAACACACCACAAACGTTTAAAACCACTTGAGAAGGCAGACAGGAAGTTGCCTTACATTCTAAACCATACACACGTGTATACCAACTGTAGTATGCACCAGAAATACTCTTCATTGTTTACATCTTAAACTCGTGATGCGTGAAAAATCAATTTTATATTTTGCTACACATCGGTGAACAGATAAGCGTATATCGTGGATATTTTCAAAGTATACCTATATTGAATATATTAAGTGTTTACACGTAAGAAATAAGTACATATCATATTACGAGCTTTTAATTTCTATATAATTTTGTATTTATAAATATATATGGTTAACAGCTTATCTGAATACTTATTAGGAACTGGACCTACATACCACAAATGTAGGGCAATAATTTGATTATAACTTGTTCACAGAAAATATTTTAAACATGAATAGATGCTTTCTATAAATCAGTGCAAGTGAACACGTTTCGGTAATTTGAAACTTTACAGCGCCAGTGTAAGGGGACTGGTGCATGTCTAAATTCGCTCTAGGTAGGATTATGACTCAATTTTATGTAAGTTTTGTACAGAAGTTTATTATTGTATCTCATTTCGATGAGGAGTTTACGTGCACAGAATAACTTTAATACCAGATCATACAGTTTGATCTGTATTCTTTATAAATATCTAGGCACAGGGATATATAAGAGTATCTTAAGGCTGAACGATTCGTCCATGAAAATCCAATTTGATTAATGACGAAATATCAATTGAATACTGTATATGATACTGTGTTGGGAATAGTGAATGCGATCACCAAATATTGAAGTTTGATCCTTTCTGAACAAGATCCGGTTTGTGTTTTAATCGAGTAAATTATAAAAAGTAAAAATGTAAAGGGTTTCATTATAATTAACCCGAATCCTTTCATTTTTTAAAAATCATTGTCAATGCTGGTATTCTTGAGACCATCTATTTAATATCGTGTTTATACATTGGCGGGATACGATGTAACGTTGACGAGATATGATAAATCAATAACGAGATAGGATATTTTAATGGAATATAGGGATCATGGTATTATGACGCTATCGTAAGGACAGGCATATAATATAACTCTATTTCATAATCAATAACTTAATCACATGACAAGCAAGAAATCGATGTGATCGAGATACGATACACACACGAGTACAATATTTATCATGAATTGTTAAAGAAATTTTGAATGCATTCTATGGTATTTAGAATATAAAAAAAACCGTTGATAACTTGTCTGTTAGAACTTCTGTCTGTTTACACCGTATGAATGGAGAGAGCGTTTTACTCAGACAGGCCAAAAGAGGTTATCATTAATGTCAAAATAAACACTACAGGTCATTGACAATTGTAAGGGAAGGTTTTAGCCGTCTGCAGTCAAGAATTTATAGATCGACAAGCAAATATAGACATTTAAAACGAAAAGGTCCCCCCCTGTTATCTTAAGTCTCTCACAGTATATGTCGTTCCCTGATGACGCCCACCCCGTTATTCCGGATACGTCATAAAGCTTTGAAAAGTGATAGGCGAATACCTTCGGACTGGAATCTCTCTATCTCCGTATGATTTAAATATTCACGCTCTTACAGTCACTTTTTAACATAGCTCATTGTTATGTCAGTTTAATTCAGTTTTATAACTTCATCACACATTCTCTCCAACACTGTATAAATTTAGTATCATGCTTCAAACAACGAGCTTCACTCACAGATCTCATCACATATCGTTATAATGTCATTTTACATAAGAAGCATTATTTCTTCGTCAAAAGTTCTCTCCATCCGTAGTATATAAATTGAACATTATGTCTGAGATCCTCTATTTCGCTCGCTACTCAACACAGCTCGTTATTGTGTCACTTTAAATAAGTAGTGATAGCATTTGTATCGGTAACACGAGTATCCTAAGTGACGTTATTCAAAAGGCGATAGCACACCGAGTGATACACATACAATATATGTTTACACAGTTTGTATAGCCGAGCATACGGGCATTATCCAGCGGAACGAGGTCCGTTGTCACTAGTGGCACGTGCGTACGCTAACATTCAAACCAAAGTACGGTGGAGAAGTGATCCGGACGAGTCAACCGTCAGTTTGTGACGAGCCACGAATGGATATGTGAAGTTTTAATAATATAAGGTGATTTGCGATTGAAATGTTGAATCTATATTTAGCACGTGTTTATAAAGTGTCATGAAGTCTTAATGATACTTTAATATATTGTGAAAAACTGACAACAGTCAAGGATATATAAGTTTGACACACGTGTATACAACAGATGTGATCCACTTAGAGGAGTGAAACTTCAGATGAAATTAACACGATACAGACAAGGCTTTTTAAGTCAGTGGACGAAATAGTTAATGTCAAATTCAACACAAATTGTAATCACGGAGTTTGATACAACAAAATATCGCCTGAAAGAAGTCACGGTAAGGTACAGTGATAAGCGACATACTTTTCGTGTCCTCTAATGACCTACTGTTGAATATAAAAACAATTATAATGACATGTTATACCGGTATAAGGTGATTTATTTGTAAGCTGTCTCGTGATTGACAAGTCGTTGTACGAATATAGACACATCTTGAAGCTATATATCAATGAGGACAATCAGTTTAGCGGTATAACGCAATCAAATAGCATTTCAAAATATCTGTCTATTTCCTTGTGATTAAGTAATCATGGATTAGAGATATCGTTTAGAAACTAGAGATTGCTACGAAACTCTTGTCTTAGATAGATTTTCTGTAGTCCGTCATCAAATTTAATTGGAAAGTCAACTATCTTTACAAATGACTTTTTAATTAATTTTTTTTCTACTTTTTACTTTCATAACTACAGCGTCCATGTTTTTCTTTAGTTTTTGATATTTGATTTACAATTTTTAACCTTTGAACTTAGTCTGTATACATTTCAGTTTAAGTCAACAAATCAGTTTGTACTATACAAGCACTATACTCTATACCTTATATTCTGTTTAAAATCGATAGGCAAAATTGCACTTGGAGAAGAAACTGCTCTACCTCATTCTGTTTAAAAAGAAATCTTACGTTTGTATGTTAAATAGTTAAATTTCTATACCAGACCCCTACCTCAAACACTAATCCGACGACTAACTAACAATACTTATAGTGCTAATAACGGAACGGAAACATTTGTCATTTTCCCCGTCATCACTGCTAATATATTTCCAGTATCACAGGCTACAGGACTTATCGTTGTAGTCGCTAAAAATTAAAACTTAACAAGTGCGAAACGAAATTCGTGGTAAAGCTTATATCATGTACTAAAGGATCGCCATGTGCCAGTGATAGGCTGTGTTATTTGTCTTTGCCGCCAGTTAGAAAGAAGTCAGTCGCTTTCAACGTTGTCACCAGAGAATTCAAGCATTTTCGTTTCTGGAAATCTTCTGTGATTTGTTTTGGAGTTAATTCCACTGAAAAAAAGTGTGCTTAAATGTGCCCAAAATGTGTGTTATGATTTAAAATTGTGAATTGATACAAATGAGGAAACGTTTGCGGACCTAGGGAATTTGCTTCGATTCTTGTGTGAGTTTGGAACATATATTAGCAGCAGTTACGTTTCAATCTGTGAAAATGTGGCCACCTCCGGTGATACTAGAAATAATTATGGTCCTAATAACACATCTTCCTGAGAGAGAACTGAGTAAGGTTGATGTGAAGATAGCATTAATGGTCCCTGAAAAACATATGTATTTTTCTCGAATGATGGTAGAACCTGCCATAGAGGAAGCGATTGTGGAGGTCGAAAAAAGAGGGTTACTCCCCTTTCACGGGTTAAATGTTACGAAATACAATACTAATTGTGATGCCATACGGGCACCTGTTGCTGCTTTTCATTTCATGAACGATGGTGGACACGCATTCTTCGGTCCTGTCTGTGATTATAGTCTTGCGGCAGTTGCTAGATATGCTCCTTCGTGGGATCTTCCGGTTGTCTCCCCTGGGGGACTTGCGCAAGACTTCCGGGACAAAGAAAAAGAATACCAAACGTTGACCCGTATGGGAATGGCATTTGACTCAATGACAAGATTCCTTCTCGCTGCTATAGCCCATTACCGGTGGCCGAAACTAAAACTTCTGTATGACCCTGATGGCCAAAAGGAAATTTCGGAGAGATTCTGTTTCTTAGTGGCTTCTGCTATCATAAAAGAAATTAAAACGAAACGGAAGGATATGAAAGGAGATTACAAACAACTGACGAAAGATTCGTCAACATATGCCAAGATTCTTAGGGAGGACGTCGGGGTGAAATATTCAGGTAAGTTGTAAATGTAAGAAATACGTTTAATTTTGCCATACAACTAGAAGTGTACTCAAACTCCCCTCGCTTTTTCATGACTGAATAATCCTAGGGAGGACATACAGTATCACGTGAAAGTTTGTTTTTTCTGTGACTGCCGTCCGATGAAAAATTTTAACGTATATATATTATAAAATAATGACTTTAATTAAGTGTGGATTGATTCTTCAGCGAAAAAAATCACCAGAAAAGTCACCAGATTACACTATATACACACCCTGAATAGCTGGGTGATACTTATCAATGTTCTCGAATTTTCGGAATATCTGCTCTCATCATTTATAAGGTTAATATCCAAAATTTAAAAAAATTCCAGATAAATTCATTCTGTGATGAAGATAATTAAGAAAATAAGACATGATTATAGTTGATTACATTAATTAAGGGATTGTAATGTCAGAATGTTTGACCTTCTCAGCCAAGCGTTGAATAATTGCCTTATTATCTGTCGTATTCTAACTAACACGGTTTTAGTAGTACTTATTTGGAAGTTAGATGCATGGGAACCGTTATTTTCAAGTCCAGAGAAGTTAGATACATGGGGGCCGTTGTTTTCAAGTCCAGAGAAGTTAGATGCATGGGGACCGTTGTTTTCAAGTCCAGAGAAGTTAGATGCATGGAGGCCGTTGTTTTCAAGTCCAGAGAAGTTAGATGCATGGGGGCCGTTGTTTCAAGTCCAGAGAAGTTATATGCATGGGGGCCGTTGTTTTCAAGTCCAGAGAAGTTAGATGCTTGGGGCCGTTGTTTTCAAGTCCAGAGAAGTTAGATGCATGGGAACCGTTATTTTCAAGTCCAGTAGCTGCTGAATAATTTACTAATATTCAAGAATCTGCGTGTCTCTAAAACCACATATGATAAATTCAAATTTCAAATTAAGTCACCTCAACATTTAAAGACTGGCTAGGATTATTGAATATTTGAAACGTGAAAAAAATCTGGATTCCAAAACTCACATAAAATCATTAAATCTACAAACGATTGTGTTGTATCGGTCATAAAAGTGGCCACAGTTATATATGGTGTGTATATGTACTGAATCACACGAGAAGGTACGAGCGTGAGGAATTCAGTATCACACTATAAGGTACAGTATCTTCGAGAAGTACTCTTGATGTCTAATTTGTCCAGAAATAAATGTAGCACCCACAAAAAAAGTAACACATGTTGACTGGTTGTCGCTAGAAGGGATATTCTGACTTCATTGCGCTTCATAATTTCCGTAATATTGTAAAAACATATTGCTGGCGTTTTATGGTATGTAATAAGTCGGAGTCATAAAAATATCTCCAAACACTTCTAATAAAAACATAAACATATCAACAATATACGATAGTCAAAGAGGGGAAATTGTCGTCCAAATTGTACTTTGTCCCTTAGGGACGTAGAAACTTCACATTTGTCTCCTCCCTTTTGGATATGAAATAAGCTATATGAGAAATAAAATCTTACACTCGTGTACACACGTTTTGGGCAGACATTGCAAGACTTGTGTCATATATTATTTTTGAACTCTTTTAAAATATGCCTGATCATACCTGTGTTATACGCTCGTACTTGTATTACGACTTTACCGGGATCTCTGCACAATTACCAGGGGTGGGATGTAACGCGGATGTGAGTAATGTAGACACAAACATATGTCCCTTATCAATATATAAATTTATGTGTATCATATTTCCTGGTATCCGCTTGTGTGTTTTATATCCCAAATCATACTACATATTTCTTGTTTAAAGACGATCGGGATGTTATATATATAGCTAAGTACAGCAATCGATATTTCGTACCTTTTCTAACGATGTGCAATCAGAATTCTTTTGAAAATTTAAACATTTCTCACAAGTTATTGGGAGAGATGAGAGCATATACGAGAATCAATCATCCGTGACTGTTTGTATACTCTAGCTAACGATCCATGATATAGTTTTTCTATTGTAAACACCAACTTAACAGATAGGTATCCAAACAAATGACGTTTCTATGGTAATATGCACTATCGAAATATCTAGACTCTTGACTGCAGTTTTAATAAACACATTTATTCTTTTCGATAGCTCTGGACATCGAGCTTTACTCGTTGACATTATTTTTCTGATGCCCAGTTTACTGACGAAATAAGAGTTCTATGCCACATTAATGATCTATATGAATGTAATGACTTAGGTTAACGGTAGTATCTACATATTCATTTCACCTCTAGTCTTATATTGAAACGTTGCAGTAAGCGCCCTCTGGTGGGGATGTATTTTAGTCCTAGACACACGTTTTCTTTATCCACTCATATCTTCTTGTGAACTGATATGAATTGGTATGAACTGATATAAAAAGATATGGACTGATTTCTTTGGCATTCATGGACATATGAATGCGTACAGTGTAAGAGCAAATTGGATTAGCATTTATTCAGTCAACATTCATCGCCCATGAATGCTAACTGATATGGTACTTATATCTAACATTGTTGATTTCCATCTAAATTTGCTTACGTCACTTTCGATATTCCTACGCTGTTGGCAGTTTACGAGTCATTAATACACGACAGACAATGGTAAGTTTACATCAAACTATGGTTAACATTTCCGACTGATTCGTTGTCTAGCAGCCATACTTGTGACGGTGACATTTCATTATCGTTATTTTCTGTTGTAATATCAGACGCGAGATGAAATACCTCTCATTACAAAGTTAGAAGTTATAACCCCTCTTACTTCTAAAGTAGCTTCCTACCTCCGTAAGAAGTAACCTTTCTTAATTGGCACAATTTTTGCAACACTCACCCTTTGTGAGAGGTCGCAACTTACCACTCAATCTTAAGTAACAGACCTATATATCTATAGTATACTCCTTTTCTGAAAAAAAAAACACGAAATGTTCTCTTCTATCAGTCGTAACTTGCTTTTTTTCTCTGAATTAAACGTCCTCTATAGTTGACGTGACTCACCTTACCTCTGTTCAAAGTTTTGGCAGTAACGATTCAAGACAGATGTTGATATGATGATACTTCATGTTTCTGGGATATGTTTTCATTCTAACGATAAAGACTTACAGTTACTATTAGACGGAGCTGTCTCAGATTGGACTGTATTCAAATATTAGCTCTGAAGTTGAACTTAGTAGCTGTTGTAGCGAAGTCATACTTCTGAAGTATGTCTCGTCGTTGGCGACAGTCCCTGATGTCCACCCCGACATTTCACTTCCGGAGAATTGACTTTTTAAATTTGGAGCAATATATAGTTTCTTCTCTATGTCCTAACTGCAGATTACCCTTAATTATTATCTCTAGTTTTAGTAGATAAAGATCAACGACTTCGATTTTGGAATTTTATTACGGAATTAGAGAGTTGTAAACCTCCCCAGCTCCAGTTTAATATCTATTTCCATCAATTTTTATTTTCCTCAGTTACTGCTACAGTCTTTTGTATCAACAGTTGTATGGTTCAGTTTAATTTCTTACTTGTACAATCCTTTACACATTGTATATAACTTGAGGAATGAATAATTGAGCAGGTAAATCCCCGATGTTGATCCTTTCCAATATGTCAAGCTGAGATACAAGGATAAATTGAAATGAATATGGTCTGTCTTTTGTACACTCTCAAACTGCTGGAGATCAAAGACAGAAGGCAGGGATCGATTTCTAAGCATCTCCTCATAATTACTGTAAATTACTTAGTTTTACCAAACTTACCTCTTCAGACATATTCGCGAAAATATAATTTCGCGATTGCTGATCTAGAAGTGATTACATTACCGAATAATGAGCTTTTAAAGATCTGGACCTAAAAGGATGCAGATATCATAACGGAGTCACCATGGATACCATCGAGAATTAAATTTCAAACAAATAACTGCGAGGAATGTGATTTCACGGTCGATTTTCCCCGTGTTTTAACGCGAAAATAAATCTTACGCAGAATGGAAGTGATGAACAGTAATGTACACAATGTTGTGTGGGAAAGATGTCTTGAATGCAATTGTACCTTGTTGCAACAACCAATTCTATATGAAAGTGGTGTACATGTAGGCATGGATCATTCAAAGAAGTGTACTATCATAACAGTTAACACTCAAATATCCTAATCTCAATGCGGTAATAGGATACACGTAATCATCAGAAACCAATGTTCATTTAAAACTAAGATATTGCTGTTAAGTGGCACATTCCAGTGGAAATTTAAAGCTTAATTATTTTTTTTCGAGAAGATAATGAAATGGTCTACAGTTTTACGAGTAAATTATATTCTCAAAGTATTTTCTTTTGTGATTTTTGTCTATTCATAACGGAAACACAACTTTTTAAAATGAACCATTATCGTATAAATGTATTCATCTCATTGTAACTGGCCATTGTTTCTTTGTTAAGTGAGTTTCTGATGAATATTCATACTACCACTTCTGTTTAATTGTGCGTTAGCAGGAGATCTGGGTTGTATGAATGAGCGCAGAGTTGTCATTTATTTGATATAAAAATACGATTGAAAACATCTATGACACATTACATGTGAAAATAATTAAATATATATTTCATCTCAAAGGTTATTTTTGTTTTGTTGTAATCAATGTTTTCGCTAAGACGTGTACCTGTTCTTGCATGTCCAAGTATGAATGACATAATGAAAAGAATATCCATGTATCCGTTCATAACAAAAGACTTTAAAATCACAAGTGAAGTATTATACAACAGGGACAAAAATCAATAATAAAAATCGTCATTCCTACAGGTATATCAAAATCCAATACAATTTCTAGAGAAATGATTGAAATTATATCTATCATTCACACGCGATGGTTTTCACGATTTGTGTTTATACAAAGGGCATAATGAAAATGATATTTTCCCAATCTTCGTTGCCTTCTATACTTCAAATTTTAGACCCTTAACATCACTGGGAAAGACAAAAGAGTTGCATGATGCAGCTAAACTCATTATTTGGCTCTACTGCATCTGATTCGAAAATTGTATTGAAGGGCATCATTGAATTGTGTATCTATTGTACAACAAAGAAAATGAGCTTAATCCAAACAAAACTTCGATTAATCTTGGGAAATATTTAGCAAATGAAAGATATACACGGAGACTTCTGAAAGAAAGTACAAGACCATATGTTTCGGAAAAGTAAGCGTCTTTGGTTTTGTCAACGGAAACCGCCATTGAAAAATATTATTCAATCCGAAATGGTGTCACGTTCCCAGATGACAAAAAAATGTACAACAATGAACAATGAAGCATACTTACGAACATCAAACACCTTCAAACGTTATGTTCCCTCAAGAAAGGGTATGTTTCTCAATGAGATCGTTATGACAACCTTAAAACTATCCCATGCTTTTCATCAGCCTGTATCTCTGAAAAAATCTGTATTGTGGGTTTGTCTGTTAGTTACAGATTCTGCGAGTCTGGAAACAAACCATAAACTATCGAATCAACTGCAACATGTCATCACCATATTGTAATCAAGCAGGGATGTTCCTGTCCAGAAATAAAAAAATCACAATAGGTAAATTGAAATTATCGAGCTTATCAAACAGTTTGGAAGAAAGGTGAACATGTCGGTTCCGTTTGCAGAAAAAGATAAAGTTAAGCGATTGATGTAGAAGAGTCAATCGTATCTTTGATTTTTTCATAATGTCTATTAACTTGTATTTCTCGAACAAACCAAACTTATATAATGTCATGTCTATAGTCTGATGAATAAGACCAGCATCCAACCATAACCAATACACATCA